GTTATAACCAAACCGTTTTCAAACCACTGCACCAACTGGTCATTTATTTTCTTTCTAAACTAAAATGAACTTCCCTGGTCTTTCTCTTCACCTTCTAGATGTGAGAGGATGTCTGCATCCTATGGTTACTGTATCACATTTATTATGAGGAGTGGCAGGTGATGCATGTATAACATGAAACTCTGTGTTTAATTACTTCTCTTTTCCTCAGCAACAGCTGAGCATAAATATCAGTGTGGACGACATTTATTTCCAGTATCACAACTTTTACAATTTGCATTACACTTTCTGTGAAAAAATATATGCTTAATTTAATTTTATTTTTGGCACCTTTTCTCTACCTTCAATGATTCAAGATTGTATCTCTCATTTAATAATTAAACAGTCTGCTTTAAATATTTAAGGAGATCATTTAGAGTTACTGGACCTAAGCGAATGGGTGAAGTAGATCTGCTATATACTGTAAGTGGGAGCCTGGCTGTGCAATGCTCTCTATGTGACTGTAAGAATTTTAAACAACTCCATAGCAAGCCAATGGAGTGAACGTGACAGGGGAGTGATATCAGAGTCTGTTTGACCTTGAAACCAAGCTGCAGCATTTTCAACAGCCTGCAAACAATTCTGAGCAGAGTAGTCAGTTCAAGAGATGGAGGCATACAGTAAATAAGCATATCTAGCTCTGCATCTGGAAGGACGGGTTTCAGTTTACTGATGCTTCTTAACAGGGGCGGAGCCAGTTGGCACTTGCCACCCTGGCCACCCCAGAAGGGCAGGTTTCAGCTTACTGATGCTTCTTAATCTAGCTCTGCATCTGGAAGGACAGGTTTCAGCTTACTGATGCTTCTTAACAGGGGCAGAGCCAGTGCCAACCCTAATTGGCCACCCCTGGTGCCACTCCCAAATAACTGACAAGTTAGTGGAGCTCACATGTGGCATTTAAAAGATGGGCTGTTAGAGAATAAAAGGAGTAAATAAATGTGAAGCAGCTGTATTGCCTTATGTACTGTAGAGCAGTTTTTCCCAAAGTTGGGGTCGGGACCCAAAGTGGGGTCCCGAAACATCAAGGTGGGGTCCTGAAAAGATTTTCTGAATTAGTTACATTTTTGCCTTAGTTGTTACAAAGGAGTGAGGTTAGTGTATTTAAAATGGATAAATGTAGAATAATAAATATTGTTACTATGCCCATGATTGGTTGACCTGATACAAATGTTTATCATCCAAAAATAGTTGGGGGCACAGGTCTCTGCTACTGTTATTTTGTGGGTCAAAAGCTSAAAAGTTTGGGAACCACTGCACTTTGGTTCCCAAAGTTGGACTTGAGACCCAATTATGGGTCATGAAGCACCTTGGATAATCTCCAGAAATCAATTTAAAGGGTAATAAAATACATGCTGATGTAATATTTTCCTTATAATTATTACAGAAACACAAAAACGTATAAATAAGTATTTATATTTGTGTACAAGCTGTTTAGATTGTCAAAAAGCCTGTGTTTTTAGGGTTATTAACAAAGTTTATGTACTCAGACCAGTAATACTTGGGGTCACAAGTTTTTGCCATGAATATTTTGTGGGTCAGAAGACAAAAAGTTTGGGAACCACTGCTGTAGAGGGAATAAGTGTATGAAGAAAAAAAACCTTCTGAACCACTGAATTAATATAAAACAACAATTATGTGTAATTGTTCTGGGTTTGAGTACAAGATACTTAAAAGTGGGTGACATCTAGTTGTCAGTCTGTAACACAGCAAAGACATGGAGCGACCAGAAAAGTTCCTTGAGAAACTCTGACAAGTACTGTACTGCCATGTAGGCACCATTTTAAACTAATGACTTGACTGTACAACATAGTGGTTGCAGTGCCCACCACTCCAAATTTCAGCTAAATATGTCTAAAAATGGCTGAGATAAAGCCATTTAGTGTTTTAATCCAAGTCGTCATGTTTTTCCACCATCAGTCAATTTACCTGCTCATTGTTTCACCCCTTCCATCACAGAACTCCTCATCAGTCTAATGTCATTCACCTGTTCCACACTGTATTTAGCTCTCCTCCACCGCTGCTCCAGTGCCAGATTTATGAATGGTTTCACCTAGTAGTTATCCAGCAATCTCCATGTCTTGTCTTGTCTTGTCTTGCCTTGCCTGCCTCATCACAACCTTGTTTCTGATCTCTGGTTCCACATCTCCTGCCTTGCCCCTGAACAGTACTGTATTGGACTCTGATCTCTTGGTTTTGACACCCGCTCACAACTCTGGACCTCTGTCTCCCTCCCTGTCTGACCTGTTCTGCCTTCGGATCCCTGGACTTCGACCTCTGCCTGTGTACCCCGACCACAAGTAAAGTCTGCTTCCCTTAACCTGGTTCCTAATTCTGATCTCATGTGCATGACCCAAGCCCGCCTCATGGAAAACCCTCAAGTTCACTGTTTAAGCCGAAGTCCGAGACCCAGAAGTGCCAACTACGGATACCGATGTAGACTCTCAAAGTATTTTAAGAGTTCTGTTCAAACCTTGCAGACTCTAAGAAGGTTAATACACATCAGTTTCCAACCGTCCTCCATCCGAAACTGAGACATGACAGTCCAGGAATGCCAACCTGCCACCTTTTACATCATCTCGTGTGAACTTTATACAGTATATTTATCCACAGAGTTGATGTGATCAGTGAAATGTTGGACTTCCTGGGATTTAATTTTAACCCAGGTGTCATTAACATACCTGAACCAATGGCTCGGTGGTGTCCCTGTAAAGGACATCAGAGCTCTCTTTTCCACCTCCTCCATGTACAGGTTTGCAACAATAGGGGAAACTGGGGAGCCCATAGCGCACCCATGTTTCTGYCTATAGTATTGCCCCCCATAGGTGAAATAGGTTGATTCCAGGCACAGTTTCAGAAGTTGACACAGTTGTTCTGTGGAAAGAGTGGTTCTGCTGCTAAAAGTGGTGTCTGATTTTAATCTTACACAGACCACATCCACTGTCTTAGCAACAGGAACGCACGTAAAGAGTGATGTGACGTAGACCATAGTTTCATCCGTCTCCATGATGACATCCCTTACCTTGTTCACAAAGTCCATGGTGTTCTGTATGTGATGATCTGAAATGCCAACTAATGGACCAAGTACTGATGCTAGATATTTGGAAACTTTGTAAGTGGCAGAGTTAATCATGCTAACAATAGGTCTCACCGGTATATCCTGTTTGTGAATTTTGCGTAAACCATACAGACTAGGACTGGCCTCACCTGGGTACAGTGTGTGTTACAGAATGTGGTTAATTTCCTTGTCCTTCTCTAACTTTTTCAGGCACTCTATCAACTTCTTCTTGTATCCACTTCCTGGATCTCTTTTCAGTGGCTTGTATGTGGTCTTGTCACTAAAGAGTGTCATAACCTTCTCATGGTAGTCTTTCTGGTTCAGAATCACTGTGTACTTTCCTTTGTCTGCTGGGAGGATGAAGATGTYCTTGTCTTTGCTGAGGGTGGTGAAAGTGTCTCTCTCTTCTCTACTTCTTCTCTTCTCTACAGTCTTGCTGTGTATATTGGTACATTGTCATCCTGATGCACAGCACCGTCTTCAGGATACACTGTTTGAACCATTGGATGCACATCTCCAGAATGGTTCGGTGGTCCTTGGCAGTGACGCGCCCATCTAGCACAAGTATTGGGCCAAGGGAATGCCATGATATGGCAGCCCAAACCATCAGTGATCCACCCCCATGCCTCTGGGCATGCAACAGTTTGGGTGGTACGCTTCTTTGGAGCTTCTCCACACCGTAACTCTCCCAGATGTGGAGAAAACAGTAAAGGTGGACTCATCAGACAACAATACGTAACATATAACACCTCAAAAAATGATACAATAAAAAAACTCAGTTCTATCTAAACTGTAATGTCTCCTCTAATTTTGTCACATGTAGATGTGCACAATAAGATGAGGTGCATAAAATGCATGTGAAGTGTTGATATGAGATCAGCGTCTCATTTTATTTATACCCAATAACTTCAACAATATTGGATCCTTCTGGACAATAAGATACAATATGTGCTGTGCATGATCAGTTCAGATTCTTTTGCACAGATCCTATTTCTTTTTACAYGGTATTTTACTGTATAATTTAAATGGGACAACTATTAGACTCCAGTGTGAACAGTCCACAGACCTGAAGCACCCATGGATCCACACTGGTACACCACTGTTAGCATCAAACATTGGTGTCAGTCACCCAGGACATTACGAATCTCAAAAAAAAAAAAWWAA